GATCGGATTGCGAATAAATCCGAAGAAGACTCAGTTTATAAAAAACGCCCTTTGCGAAGATGCTGAAATGGAAATAAAAGGCGCTCCTCCATGAAGACGTCTTCGTACGCCTATCTTGGACGTTCTCGACATATTCAAGACAAGGCCGATTATTCAATTATTGCCGTTACGGGCCATAGCCTTTTTCGCTTTGTCAAACTTACGACCCACCCGTGGATCGTATTGTCCGAAATGGTAGTCGTTTTGGAAATGATTCAAAACATGTCTCCGAGAATTTCCCTACAAGAGTTATTGAAGGCGCTACTTACCAAAATACGATTTATCTCAGTTGCAGTATACAGTAAGGTTAAGGCAGTCATTATGTACGAACTTAACATCATTGATTTTCATGAAAATTTGTGCTTTGGGGTTTTTCACGTGCTGATCATAATTATAGTGTCCACTTTGATCACTACTCCACAGTGAGACTACGGTAGCAGTACGGTAGATTTTTCGTCCGAATCAAGAAACTGATGTAAGAAGGCGGTATTAGAACTCAAGACTATCATTTTCGTATACACCATGCTAAAAAACCTAGTACGTAAGGTTTGAGCTTCCTGGAATGAACAATGCGAAAATCAATAAAATCAATATAATCGGTAGTTTTTTGATGGGCTGACATCAGTCTCGTGCCCTCCCTATATTTCTCGTGCATGTAAATGTTTTAAAAAACGGCAGCACCTGCGACAAATTTGAGCTAAAGGTCTGTGCCTTACCTCTATCTACGGAATGCCTACTGTAACATTACACTACAGTATCCCGAACCTGGACCACTCTGGCTGGAGCCTCGCCAAGGTGTTCCCAATCATGTGCCAGAACATCGTAGAATTCAACCGTATACTGGCAAAGCTAAAGCTTCAGGAATCTCACGACCCACCGGTGGGTCGTATTGTCGTGAATGTGTTAAACATCGAGAACGACTTGAGGGAAGAACTCGACAGGAGAAGAAGTGCAGCCCGGGCCGCCTTCGGGCCTCTGAAGGAAGCCACTGACCAACTGAAGAACCCGGAGCTTCGTGCCCATCTGTTCGAATCAAACGTTCTCCTGGCACTATGTTACGCAGCTGAGACTTGTGCCAACATTGTAGCCTCGTCGAAACTTTACGGACACCCACAGAGCGCTCAAGCGCAGTCTTTTGAAGATGACCACACAAGTGACATTTAGTCGGACTTCGCAGTACGGATATGAGGAGAATGTCCCGTCTTCGTGACCCAGCGGATTACGTTGCGAAAGCGAAGCATCGATGGGCCGATCACATTATGAGAAGAACAGACGACAGATGGACACTAAAAACATCTGAGTGGATTGCGAAGCCAAGCGTCCTCGAGGAAGACCATCGACGAGATGGGCAGACGTCTTCTTCGACCAGCCGAGAAATCAGCTGGATACGACTTTGCCCCTGGAACTCGTGGACGCAGCCACCGACGTCGATCAAGAAGCTCGTGGATGTCTGAAGCGAGGGACAGGGACAAATGGAAACTTTCGTGCTGAGGCCCGCACGCCAGGTGAAGACGGGCCACCTAAATATCTAAGTAAAATAGGTAGTGTACTGACAGGGAAAGCAAGTTTAGTCGAAGTGGCCTTTTGATGTGATGCATACCATATTAAAGGGCATAAATTGCTTTCCAAATTTGCCTTTCTTTGCAGAACATTTAGACGAGGAGTTATGAGGGCTTATTGCAGCAAAAAATTGGATGTCTTCTGCCCCCTCGTTCGTTCTTTTACCCTCGAGTTCATTGGCCGTATTCATAGACGAACCCTTGAGTGGAGGGTAGGGTTCACTCCAGAAAGCGATTAACCCGTATCCACAAACATGGTTTATCAGGGTAAATTTAATCCTAGCACAGAGCAAGATTAGATTCACTCAGACACTTCTGCAAACATCAAAAGTGATCCCTCGATGCTACTACTTTGCTACATTACTCGGTCCTAGCTTACTGTTTTGGCAATAAACACATATTTATAATTACTACTATCTCAAACTTCCTATGGCCTCTTTTTGTGTTTTCGTTTGATGTTATCATCCGATATTTTGATTTAGTTTTTAATAAAGTACTGTCCAACTAAGAACTGAACATCAACCTCAATAACTCAGATAGCATTCGTTGTTCAACAAAGCTCGGCTGAGACTCCCTCAGTCAATTTTAGTTCACTATTAACCTTTTTTTTCTCACGACCATATTGTCGTAACTCAACCAAATACTCTTTGGTTTGAACAATAAGATACTAAAAAAAAATTTTCCCTAATTTTTATAATATGATTATGATCAGACGAGACCAAAGAGGACTCAGAAAACTTGAGATAGTATTGATTAGAAATACGAAATAATAATGTTTGTTGTCATATAGTATCGTTCGGGCTAAGTAGTGCATCGAGAGACCACTTTATGTTTGCATAAAGTGTCAGGGTAGAGTTAACCTTGCTCTATGCTAGGTTTAAATTTACCCCGATGAATCACGTTCATGGTTTTACCCTCAAAGGTAGATTTAACCCTCGGGGTTAAGACTACCCTATGTGCTTCACGACTACGGGTTCATCGCTTTCCGGGGTTAATCTTACTCTCCAGAGTAAGTTTAACCCTCAGAATTCGTTGATGAATACGGCCACAGATCAGTCGCCATTTATGGGGATATTTTACCTGCCGAAATGAATATCATATTTATCTTTTGAAACAACGCCTGTTCTTCTTTTTATGGACAGCACACCGTGAAGCTACAGCAAGTTTACAGAAAAGGTTCCACCATGCAAATCGTATCGCTCATGTGACCAACATATCAGACCTCCCTTTGGGCAAGTTTCAACAAAATCTGTGATAATTAATAATTTTTCGCCTTGTACCATATACTCATATCCTCACTGCGACCTTAGAATGTGGCAGAACATGAGCTGTTCTTATAGCTTACTTCAAGATTTGCATGATAGCAAAAATTGTGCGTTATATTCAAGGAAAGGAAAGTTATTGAAAGAGTTGCAAAAGCCAGTTTTCAACCTGATATTATGATATACAATGCGACAGTGCTGCCATGGCGAGTAATAATACTATGTCATTTGTAGATTATTATGCATATTGCACAATGTACACTCTAATAGAGTTGCACAATGTACACTCTAATAGAGTTACTTCAGAGTTCTATTCTCTCTCTGGAAGACTATCAAATCCTGCTAGTTACCCTATCCAACCAATTGTCCCTCAAGGATCCTACACAAACCTAGTAAAGATTTGCAAGTTGCCGCGCATTGTCTACAGATTTGCATATTAAATTACAGACGGCTAACTTATATATAGTACAGCAAGATTAGAGACATTTGTAGTATTTTCGATCTAACCTACCCCATACCTGGTGATTACATGATATAGCAGAAAACCTCTACCAAAAATTTAGTGATATAAAAACTTCTTCCCAACAAGAAAAGAAAGTTGTGGGAAATGCGCCGCGATAACCGGTCATTTGCAAAAAATCAACATGTTCAAAATTTATGCAGACGCATCAAAATTACGTATATCGAAAAAAAAACCAAAGCGCTCGGCATTTATCAAGGACATAAATGCGCTTCAAATTTTGCCAACCTCAACTTTATCTTTACTTTTTTCTAATCTCAGTGAAATTTCGTGAAGCTTGCCTTTGTCATCGAACCTTTTTATTTGTTTACATCTCGAATTTGACAAGAGGAAGTAATCACTGTAATAAAGTTGCATCTCACTTCTTTGTATTCGAAATTAGTCCCGTTCACACAGTTACGTTACGCTAAATCTAGATACATGTACATGTATCTTACGAGGTGCAAGTGAGTCTGGCAAGTCTGATGTAAACAAGCAGCAGCTCTTAACGGCTATCAATCCAGGATATAAGATTGAAAAACTAAATTAACCTAACAACGAGAGAAATCTGCAATGCGAGATGAGGATTATGATGATGAAGGTACGCCTAACGATCGCTCGACCAAATGGTCCGCCGCGATTAAATCAAGACCTCCGTCTGCCCACATTGATGCCGCACCCACAAATCAAGGATCCCGTCCACCCCAAGTGGGGTTTGACAAGATGATGATGGCTTCCTAGTATGAGACCCCACACCAGGCAAACCCCTAAGTTGCGCCGCAAAAATTGTTTCCGGAGCGAGAAATCCGATGCGGAAGGAGCAAATCTGGAGCTTTTCACTTCACGCAGCTGGTTGCCCCGCCCATACTGCAGACTTCCCCTCGCCTGCGCTTGTTGCAGCGGATACGGGTACTGTTGCAAAACTGGGATTTTTGAAAGTTTTGCGGATTCTCGACTCCATATTCGGAATTAGGGCCTTCAAGGCCTGAAAGCGACATAAATGTGGAAGTCGAGAATTTATGTAGGCAGTGCCCTTAAACCGCCCCCACCCGGAAAGCCGTGAACGCTCGCCACTTGCCGGGTTATTGTCCGAGTTACATTCCTCATGAAAGCCCTAAATTGGTGGGCATCATTATGATTACCTTTCTGCTTATCTCTAGTGGCAAATCTCGCTGTTTCTAACATTAAAGGCAGTGGCTCGGCAAATCTCAACCTAGTCAAATTTGCGCTTACCTGATAGTTATTCAATACGCTGATCTCGAAAAGCCATAAAAGCTTGAAAACGGCGAAAATAAGCGTTTTTTAATGCCCTTCCCTTTAAAATTGGACGAGTGGAGCAAGGCCGATGACGAAAATCGTTGCAGGACCCAAAGGTTATAGCGTTGCGGCGGGCAGCCTCCAATGGTGAGAAGGAAATTGCCAACTCGTCCAGATGCGTGTAAGAATGGCCTGCGCGTGTAAGTTTGAGAGCGATTTTCTCGGCAGAGAAAGCATGCTATGCAACCGGGGTTGCACTGTTTTCACACTTGGGCGATAAGGAACCTACTGCGTTAAAATCCTGAGTTGTTGGATTTTGCCGATCCATTGCCTTTAAGAGCAGTAAAGGATGCCAGCAACATGTGTTTTGCTTTGGTTGCTTACTTTTCTAAATGCTGCATCTCCTAGTTCTTTGACTCCTTGGCAGTATGCGATTCCTTTGAAACTGTCGTGGATGCTGAAAAAGTTATTGAGGATAATACCACGTAATGTTGGAGAAAATCTGTATATTTGAGATTAGTGTGCATGCAAATGTGAAAAGTTGAGAAATGTTGTTTTTCTTCGACCAGAAAAGTTACAGAATGCCACAAAATTATCCAATTCTAATTCTATCTCACAAGGAAACGATACTTAGTGTCCATAGCCTTTAGAAATGAAATGTATACCAATACATTCGCCTTCGAACGCTGATTCCGAATCTGACTTCCCTTTCTGCTGAACGTTTCTCCGAAAGAAATTATGAAGGATTTTCGCGCCAATTTTGGCCTCCAGAGATATGATAGGAACAGCAATACCTTCGGTAGTTGTGGTCTAGTGGCTAGTGCGTTACCCTCACAAGCTGATGCAGGTGTAAGTTCAGATTCCTTTGTATTTTTGAGTTTTGCATTGCGTCAAAAGCTTCTTTTTGAAAGTTATTAAGCTTTTTTTGAGAGTTAGATTCCTCGAGGTAAATGCATGTCCTTACTCGTTGAAAATTTTACGAGGATTCTTTTTTATACGAGTGCTTCCTATATACATTCCAAAAGGTGCCCATAAAAATGAAAATGAATGGAAAATGAATGCATTTTAACATGTTACCATGTTGGTGTTCTGCCTCGCACGGCCAAATTTGGCGCGAAAATCCTTCATAACTTCTTCCAGAGAAACGTTCAGCAGAAACGGATTAGATTCAGAATCAGCGTTCGTAGGCGAGTGTATTGGTATACAATTCATTCCAAAAGGCGACATCAAGTATCGTTCCCTTGTCAGACTTTTTGTGTGAAAAGATGTACTGGCTATTTGAGCACCATATTCTAGAGATGGCTTCAATTTAGAGTTACAATAGAAATCGGACAACAGATATTGTTTCCCCTCTGCAGGATTACGATAAAAGTTTTCAGCACAGATTTCCGCTTTCCTTGCAAATTTACTGCCGTCAAAAAAAAGAACTCCCAAAACATTCGAAAAGTTCACCTCTGTACAGGTTTGCAAAGCGGTTAAGATGGCTTGATCATGTTTCTGATCGTTTTGAAAGTTGCGGTGTACTAAAAATTTTTTGAAACAAGTTCTGGAATATGTAGAAAACAAGCATGTGAAGCCAGCCACCCTAATTTATCCGATAACAAAATTTCCAACTTTTTTGGATATTCTCTAAGCAACATTTGCTCTCTGGAAGCGCGAACCTTTTGAAAGTTCTTAAAATAATCTTAACGTGATTAAGGTGTCCCATAATTTTCTACCGTTTCTGCCCTGAACTTTAGCATTTTCGAGAACTGGGGCACCTATAAAAGTACAAATATTAGGTTTGGCACATAAGTTTTGCAACTTTTCCCGTAACTTTTCTCTTATATTATATAGCAACCTCATTTTGTGGCATCATGTAGAGCGCGATATAAGCTGCAAGTCTGCGCAAACCGTTTGATTTTTGATAACGTAGTACAAAAAATCTAAGCATTTTTCGAAAACTGCTGAAAATCGAGGTTTCACGGTTTTTTGGCAATCATGAAGCCCTACGAAACCGGCATTGAACATATCAAAAAGCAATTATAGGCAGCATGTAGCTAGAAGTGGACACATTGGAATCAGTAAAAAAGAAATGAAATTCAAACGCAAATCAAGGTGAGGCGCCTTTGAGAAGTTGAACAAGTCAAATGCGTCAAGTTTTGAAGACAATTTGTCAATAACTAAGCTGCGAAAAGTCAGAATTCGCTATAATTCTGCACTGTAGGGTAATCCTATACGGTGAACACGAATATCATATTCCTTTGTCGCTAAAATGAAATTGATTTTTTGATCTCAAGAACGAGGCCTTTTCATGCGAAACGGATCTCATTTTTGTGATCAGCATGTCGAATAAGCCATATTGATCAAGTTTCAGCAAATTCTGATGCATTATAAAATTTTTCCCATAGTACCATAAACCTACCGTAATCTTCACATAAGATGGTAAAATTTGGCAAAAATGTGTGCATTAGAAGCTTACATCATAGTCCTTATATTGCCAAAAAATGAACGCGCTACGTTTAAAGAGACAGAAATTATATAAAAACTTGTATTACTTATGTGCCAACCTAATACATGATCGGTGCTTCTGTATGTATGAGCTATATGATTACGTGCGTGGGAGGGGCTCAGGACGTCTAGGGGCGGAGTTTGCAATTGTACTCCATTCATTTTCTTCATTCCTAGCCATGGAAAGATACGAAAAGTGTACATTTGAGTGTGATGTGTCAAGCATAGGCTAGGAATAGCTGGCACACTCGGCTACGCTCTGCTCAAATGCTTGAACAGATCTTTGTTTTATATTTAACAAAATATGAGTCAGTTCATGAAATGAGTCGCTATCAAAATGCTAAAATATCATATGAACTAACATTATTGTATATTATCATACTAACATTCTAACTATCATTATTGTTCGTCAGAGAGGTGATTCGTGGAACAGTCGAGCCAAGAATAACAAAACCAAAACAAAAAACGGTAACTTCAGTTTTTTCACACATGGCAAACTTGGTTAAGGGGCACGCCTCCTTTAGTTGATTTTGATAATTATTGAAATTCGAGACTTTACGATATATGTTCTTTTCAAAAGCATTCTGGAAATCTGTGGTAGAAAATTAATTTCATTCTCAACATTTAGCTACCATAGCTCTCATATCAAGAGCAGTTTTTTTCAAATTACGGTTTCTTGTTTTTTTGTGTCAGATTCTAGGGGTTGGGGACCCGCAAAAATTTTGAGAAGCACCCCAAAAAATTTTTTTGGAGTGCGTGGTTAATGCCAGGCACTTTCACTGAAAAAATTTTTTGCCGCCCCCCCCTCCCTCCTGGGCGGAAATCCTGGGACCGCCACTAATATACAATACCGCTCACATTTTTTGAAAAATAGACGCGAATGTATGGACATGTATGGACATGTACAGACATGTCGCTACATGTCCATACATGTATGGACATGCCCATACATGTCCATACATGTCGCCACATGTATGGACATCACGTCGCGTGGCCATATCTCGCTTCAGAGTGGACGAATTCTGAATCCAAAACCATCATTCGATTCTGCTCGGCGCGGATAATCTTCTGATATACTGGAAGTGGGGGTACGATGTCTTCGATATTCCGTTTCCCGTTATTTCAAACTCTTCTGCGGAGGTCCTTTCGCGAATATGTGAAGCAATACTTATCCAACATAGAAGGCTTTACTGAGTATTATTCGATAACACTGTTCTTGTAGATTATTGTGCGCTAAAAAATAGGCTCAGATTTCTTTCCAAAGGAAATAGAAGCGTTGGTGAATTTTGGAAAAATCACGCATTTCTGAATTCTACTCGCCATAACTTCCTTCGGAATGAGTATATTTTGAATCCGGAAGCAGCGCCTTGCTCAGCTCGTCTAGTAGAATCTTCTTATGTACAGCATGTCCTTGATATTTCGATTTCAGTATCCTTGAATCTTTCTGAGAACGTCTTTTCGCGAAGGTGTAAAGCAGCGAGCATTGTCCCGAGTACATTCCAGCAAGGATCTTTCGATAGTACTTTTTCTGTAGATTACGATGTGCTAAATACTAACCGCAGATTTCTTTTCAAAAGAAATAGAACGGCTGGTGAATTGTGGAAAAATCCTGTCGTCGCAAATTCTACTCGCCATAGCCCCAGGATACTAAGCAGATGTGAGTTTCGAAATCAGCAGGTCGGATAACCTCTACGAGCAAGCTTTCCGATATGTTCGGGTTATTTCATTTTTCTCGTTTTACGCTCCGGAAGCTCGCCGATGGATTTTGGTCAAAATATTGATGCTCTTGAATTGTAAGGAAGCTTCGCTTATAGAGGTTTTCGACCACGCTCTTTACGAAAATCGTGGTCTTTCAGGATTACAGGGTCTTTTTGGAGGGATACGTTGAGGTGACTGTAACTGCATCACGAAAGGGCGTAAATTTGCCCACACTTCTCGCGTATCTGTCAGAAAACTTGTCTGCTTGCTTGTCTAAGTCAAAGTTAATAGGGACTGTGCTATCGAATGGCGCATGACTCAGGCTCCAGTCTGTGAAATTTGCCGAGTTACGAGCCTACGAAAATACGTCCTCATGAATTTTGCTCAAAATGTAAAAATCGCAAATTTCGTCGAAATTTCACCGTGAGCACCTGTACAACACGCTGATCAAATCTTTTCTCATCCTTAATGGATGTTATCGTGATAGATTTGTTTAGCTCTAGCCATGAAATAGCTTTGATATCTGATTGAGCAGCTGAAGCACACGCAAGCACCATATTCAATACAGTGGGGGTCGTTGGACGAAGCGAACATAACATCCGCAATGCGAGCGTCATACAAGCGTTTACGGTGGAATTTCGACGAAATTTGCGATCTTTACATTTTGAGCAAAATTCATGAGGACGTATTTTCGTAGGCTCGTAACTCGGCGAATTTCACAGACTGCAGCCTGAGTCATGCGCCATTCGATAGCACAGTCCCTATTAACTTTGACTTAGACAAGCAAGCAGGCAAGTTTTCTGGCAGGTACGCGAGAAGTGTGGGAAGTTACGCACTTTCGTGGTGCAGTTACCGTCACCTCACCGTATCTCTCCAAAAAGACCCTGTAATCCTCAAAGACCACGATTTTCGTAAAGAGCGTGGTCGAAAACCTCTATAAGCGAAGCTTCCTTACAATTCAAGAGCATCAACATTTTGACCAAAATCCACCGGCCAGCTTCAGAGAGTCAGACAAGAAAAATGAAATAACCCGAACATATCGGAAAACTTGCTCGTAGAGGTTATCCGACATGCTGATTTCGAAGATAGCTTCGTATCCTGGGGCTATGGCGAGTAGAATTTGCGACGACAGGATTTTTCCACAATTCACCAGCCGTTCTATTTCTTTTGAAAAGAAATCTGCGGTTAGTATTTAGCACATCGTAATCTACAGAAAAAGTACTATCAAAAGATCCTTGCTGGAATGTACTCGGGACAATGCTCGCTGCT